AGTGGTTAGAGAGTCTTCTCTAGAGTCAGGAAGTAAGGGGTTGATCCTTACGTCGCGGGCTCGAATCTCACTTTGGGACGTGGAGACCGGTGCTTCGGATGAGACCGTATAAATCAAGGTCCCGTGACGCAGTATGTGATGGCACGAAAAAGACCTATCACTGCTCAATGGCCCTGAGTGCCGAATATGGGACAAAATCTGCAGCTCTCCACCGGCAAGTGATGGCGTCTCCGTATGAGTAAAAAATTTCGAGAGGAACGTTAAACAATATACAGTCAATCGAGCATTAACAATCTTAAACGACTGTCAGACGGGTCCTCTGATAACAATGAAAATAAATCAGTTTAATAAAGAAAGACACCCGTCCCGATAAAACAAACAGTATTCTTATTTTTGAAGGGTCAGCATTGTGTAAATATGTTTGGAAGGAGAATGGATAAGAACCAGGGTGATCAAGATATACTTGAAAATGAAAACGTCAATGCAGACTAAAATGCAAGTAAATAACATGAAGCAATATATTAATTTTAACAATGCTTAAGTCTTTTTTTTTCAATATGTTGTAATATTGCCACTGAAAAGCTATCATTTTTTAAATATCCAAGTTAAATATTTAAATTATGAGCAGAGGAAATCCAGGCCGCTGAAAACAGAGGAAAATGAGATAGAATAACTGAATTATTAATAACAACCCAATACACAAGGAGGCGTTAATCGTCAACCCGCTTTAATTTCCGGGTGAATGAATATTACGAGTTATTCTGAAATGTCAGGTCAACAAAACGTAAGATACCAGACGGCTGTTTTTACGGCTTGTAAATTTCTTCCAGATTCTACATAACCTTCAATTTTTCATGGACATTTTTGGTGTGGTAAGTATTCTTTATCGACAATTACGCAATCCTTCTTTATATGTCTGTAATAATCTTTTTTCTTAATGTAGGAGGGCAAATTATGTAACGATACAATGTAGATATTAAATTGTCAAAGGGTGTTTACTCCTCAGAAGGCAAGTGGATCCAGTTTAGGAGACGAAGCAATAATTAAAAAAAGGGAAGATTGACATTCACAGGTTTTAGCTTGATTATTTCATTTTTTCTGAATTGGTGATCAAAATATATTGTGTATTGTAAGCTAACATGCTTCAGTGATTTTGGCCCAATAATTTTTTTGATTTTTTTTTAAAGAATTATCAGAGCGTGTATGAAATTATTTGTTATCGTTGGGAAACATGTAGCAAGGATAATTAAAACGTAAATGCTTTCATAATATTCTTTTTTTTTAATTACTGAAAAAAGTGAAAAGACCTATCACAGGGATCAGTGGAAGCAAGAAAGATATTGAGATAGCAAGCAAACATTGTTGAAGCTCAAAAGTTCATTAAAACAATAAGATAAGAAGGCAAACAGAAATATCAAAAGTGAAGTTAGGTAGCATGGAGGAGTTAGAATCCCCTGCAGATCTTACACACTCAACGCGGTTTGTTCTTCATCTAGTTAATTAAATACCAAAGAGTATTAGATCAGGATCATATCCTTATTCTCCTTTATTGACAAACATGTCATCAAAAGCCGTTAGGAGTTTAACATTTGAATTAGAAAAATTTCATGATGAAAAATAGTATGTGAGGGTTACATTATGGTGGTTTTTTTTCGTGTAGTTTTACGATCAAGTATACATGTACATGTAAGTGTATGAACATACAACTTCTTCGAAAAGTATGCAATATGAAAATGCTTTTCAAGTAAAAATAGTTTCATCAAAGAAAAACAAAGGTTTCGGCGAAAAGACTGCCATTTAGATATCTAATGGAGAAAAAATCAATTTAAATCTTTCCCATTTTTTATTTCTATATATAAGTATGCTATTAAATAGCTAACAAATAGTTTATAAAGAAAATTACTTAAGGCTAGAGAATTTCAGATTTTATATCCCTGTGTGTTTTATTGAACACTATGTTTGTATTACGTATATGAGTATGCCCGAAACATTCCGAATACAAGGGTTCAATATCAAACGCCACGTTGTAAAGAAAAACGTTTTCTGGCGACCTCTCAAAGGCAAATTTATGATAGATACTGGCAATTAGGTAGGGTTTGTTTATTTTTACACAAGATGGACAATATAATTTAATAATTTAGTACGTATTACCAATCAGTTCACAATAAGCAAATCAAATCATAACGATTGGTAGAGTCAATAGAATGATCCTATAATGAAAATTTAGGGATGTTGGATCCTTTTATACAAAGTGTTTATTTTTTGTCAAGCATTGTTAGTTTTTGCACATATAGCTTTATCAAAAAAAAAAAAAATGGGAGTCAGTACGCTTCTGCTGGTGCTACAGTACATTTAATATGACCTTTTTTGCACTGAAATTTGTGTCTTAATCAAAAATCACATGTTCGACTTTTTCCCTTCAATATTTTTATCCAAATATATTATCGGACAATCAACTGTTTAATTAGAAAAACACTTAAAATTGTGACTAAGAAAAAGTTTCAAATTTCTTCAAATAATCAATCATTTGGAATTTCTGCACTCACAAAATATTATTTTTCTGCATTGAAAATTTAACAAGCAAATTTTTTTTATGTCTTTAACTTTTGCTAAATTTAAACAGATTGGTCAAAGTAATCTAAGATATTCAGAAAGAAAAACAAAAGTGGGGATCATATGATGTAAATTTTTAGATACATGTATTACTGGAAAAAAGTGTTGATCTTATGCTAATATTAGTTCTGTGTGCATCCAGCATGGAAAAATAGGAATGTAAACTTAACAGTTCTGTATATATTTCAAAAGGGAAGAACTGATCAATATCTTCTTAAAAAAAACTTCCCCCACAAAATATAGTTCCTAACTTAATCCTATTTGAATGGAATTTTATCGCAGCTTTTTTTCATTGGATATAGTTTATTTTGCATTGTAGAATCCAGATTTAATGTAAAAACTCAAAAATAATGCAGAATTTAAAAAAAAAATGCTCAAACACTTAGTATCATATCTCCTTAGGGACAGAAGTTCATTTAAAAACCAATGCTTAAAATTTTATCAATTTGAGATATTTCATTTAAAATAAATATTAGTCCAAGAAATGGGGATGTTTTAGCAATAAAATAAAGGAGTTATTGAATTTATATTAGTGAATATTGGCACTCGTTGACTGTACAAATACACTCGCACTTGCATCTGTACAACCAACACGTGTCAATAATTACCAATATTAGTTCACCTACCCTTTTATATCATAATTAAGAAACCTTAAATAACAAATAAAGATCTATGTTGCAGACTTGAAATTTTTCCTTCTTTTTTTCTTGATAAGCATGTGTCAAGTTTTTTTTCGCAGTTGAACAGGATATATGCAATCGTCAAAATTATTTTGGATGTATTTCAAATGTATAATTATTACAGCAAAATAGTGCAAAAGAAAAAAGAAATCATGTCAATTCAACTCTTCCTACAAACTTTGAATTCCGAATTTGTTCTGTATTGCACAACTGGTTTTTTAATCCGTGTTTTCCTTGAAGGTATAGATAGACATGACATTATCATCATATATATTTTGGGGGTTTGTTGCTGTTTTGGTGTACAACTATTGGTATGAATCAACAAGTGTACTTAGCAGCATATACAACTACGTAACAGGTAAGAATTAGTTGCCTGTGTGGTGCAGGGGTTAGAGCGTCTTCTCTATGTCGCAAAGTAAAGAGTTGATCCTTATGTCTCGGGATCCCACTGTGGGACATGGAGACCGGTCCTTCAGATAAGACCGCATAAACCGAAGTCCTCTGTTGCAGCAGGTGCTGACACGAGAAAGATCCCCCACTGCTCAATGGCCATAAGTGCAGAGTACACGACAAAATTTGCAGCTCTCTACAGGCAAGTGTTGGCGTCTCTATTTAAGTAAAATATTCTCGAGAGGGAATATAAACAACGAACTAAACAAGAATGAAACATTTTATGATGTTTTTTCCTATAATTTACATAGTAGAAACCAAATACAACCTAAAAGAAAATCCTAAGGGAACTTCTGTTTTTAGATCTTCTATATATTTTTTAACATTTATTTATAGGGAAAATATGGTCAGTGGTGGACTACTTTGTTGGGCTGTTTTCCTCGATTCTGTACACATGTTTGGGTATTGTGTTTTGGGTTGGCATTTGCGGTTGTATCATTGAATATAGATGGACCATTTTGGGGAACTAATCTATAACTAGAGACAGTTTTACTTTTATGAAAGAATAGATAAGTGGGGCTCCTCGATCGCTCTCAGAGGATGTTTAAACCCGCCAAACTCCCTCTAGATCCACCACTACATTTCTTCTCTTTCTTGTTTTGGTGCGAGATATGGTGGGGAAAAAGGGTTGGCATATTAGACATAACAGACGCACTTTAACCTCGTCTGTTGGAACAAAATCTCCTATAATGCTGTCTGATAAGAAATTAACATTCAATCATATTTTTTAACATTTTCCGTAGGAAATGTATTTATATACACGTAATTTTAAATATATACAACAAATCCTGTTTATTTACAGAAAGTAAAACTGTTTGTTTATACATGTACATAACGCGGTCTTCGCTTTTAAGACTATGCCCAACACGTATGCTTATTTTCTCCGCACTTCAGTCGTGTCAGAGTTTGTCAATCAAGATTGGATGAAACATTTACCCTATATTTTTATAAATTTTAATTCTATATTTATTGTGTGTTTTTGTTAAACATTTAGACACTCTTTTTAAATACTCTATTATTTGAATGTTTAAGAATATTTGTATTTAAATTGTTTTCGCTCCGCAAAAATGCACGACGACATCAAACTTTCATATCAAATAACCAACCGCCTCCTGGCGGCCGGTAATAATGATCATCGGTAAACTCATAAAATTAAGACCATAGTAAAGACTCTTTTTCTCTCTTAAAAGCCAAATACTTTATTTTACGGGTATTTTTCTTATCCATCTAAATAGTATTTTAAATTTATTATTAGAAATGCAAATGGCCAGAGGGCATGTACCCGGTGGCACGAGTTCAATAAACTATATGCAGTACATAAGAGGAAGCCGACATGACTTTGATAACTGGGCTAGAGAGGGTGCAGATGGATGGAGTTATAAGGACGTGCTGTCATATTTTATTAAGTCTGAAGATATGCAAATACCAAGTCTACGATTTTCACGTATTTATTTTTTTTAATCTTTTTTCCAGACAATTTATCTCAATTTAAACACATGATTTAAGGTATTCATTACCTTGATTTTGATATATGTATATAACTTTATCCCCTTTAGAAAATCATTTTTTCAGTAAGTATGTACAGCGTACCATGGAATGGGCGGTCCTTTGACTGTCATTGATGGAACAGCCACAAATCTCAGCGAAAATGTGTATAGAAGGGGAATGGAGGAAATGGGATACAGAGTGATGGACTGTAATGAAATGACGCAACTAGGTTATATACTTATTTACTTACTGTGAAATTATTAATTTTCGTTGGGGTTAATTTTCATGGTTTTGAAGTTTTTAAGAGATCCACGAATTAATGTCCACCATGAAATGTAATTTTGAACATATATTACTACTCTACAGTGTTTCACTCATGTAGAGACGTCAAAATATACTGGTGAAAGGCTTCAAATTTTGACCTTTACTCAGCACTCAGGACCATTCAGCAGTGAGGGATCTTTATCGTGCCAATGCCTGCCGTGGCACAGGACATAAGTTTTTATGGTCGCATCAGAAAGAATATCAATGTTAACTACAATGCATAGCGCATGACGAAGGAACAGTTGCTACCCATTTTATCGACTTAGGTTAGTCGACGCCACGATTCGAACTCAAGAGCTCCCGATCAAAAAGCGAGTGCTATATATACCGACTGAGATACATTGAACTTTCTTTTTATTTTGAACGTTTTTATTATGAATGATATTATAAATAAAAGTATATAAAACGATCAAATGATTTGAGAGAGGACACTACATGTACATACAAAAGACCTCTCTAAAAAGTAAAGAGGATGTGAAAGAGGAATCCCTTTATAGAACAGGTTGCATTGTTAGGAATTAGGGAGAATAACTCTAAAGTTTTCATCTTCCTTCCAATATAAAATTAACATTCCTCTCTTTGTAATCAACACAAGGCTATTGTTTTGGGCAAGAAACTGTGAGAAACGGAGAAAGATGGAGTACTGCCAAAGCTTTCCTAAGACCTGCCATGAACCATCCGAATCTGCACGTGGTGACAAACGCATACGTTACAAAGGTATAAAACAAACTTTAGGTTTCATTTAATATACAATTAAAAAGCGTGTTTAAACCATCGTGTAAGAATGAACGGAGGTGATTTTGAATGTATGTGAATTGTATCATGTATAGAAAACAAATATAATATTTTTCCTATTCCTGCTTCGTTTTGAATGAATTGACTTATCCTTCAAAAACAAATTAGTCTCGTTCACTCTTTGAATTGCCTCATACTATTTACTTTATCTATTTTGCTATTACTGTGCGTTGTTTTGTATACTCGTACACTCACTAGTATGATCAATATTTGCGAAAAGAGAAAACCAATTTTAATTGATATGCCTTTTTTTAATCTGCAGGCAAATTATTTAAAACTTTTCTTCAGCAAAATGATTACAAACTGATTTCTTTTCACAGCTCTATTTATGTTATTATGAATGCACAACTACACTTGATGAAAAAGCAAATGGAACAACAGAATTACGTTCATGGAATGGTATTCAAACAATGGATAAAACCATAAGAAACACGAATTTGCAAAATCATTGAGTTTTTTTTAGATTTTATACGTTAACATAATCATAAGATGAGGAATTTTCTTTGTCACCAAAAAAACACTGCCCAGTTTATTATATTCAGATATTAATAGAAAATAGGAAAGCGGTGGGAATAACATTGGTGAAAAACTATGAAACATACCATATAAAAGCAGAAAAAGAAGTCAACATTTCTGCTGGATCCATAAATTCACCGAAAATTCTTATGTTGTCCGGTATCGGACCAAAGAAGCATCTTGAGTCATTAGGGGTAAGAAAATAATGAACAAATTTTCTCAATTGTTTGCTACTTATACAAATTTAAATCCAAATTTATAGCAAACAATTTTAAAAAAACTTATATTTAAACCAAGCTTTGTACGAAAATATATATCAGAAAATTAATTTTCAAGTCTCTTCATCAATACCTATTATCATAATGTTTATACACCTTAAACAGATTCCAGTGGTAGCTGATCTGCCCGTTGGAGAAAACTTAGAGGATCACATTAATGTTCATATGTCGTTTAGAGAAAATACAAGTTCAGCGTATGACTACTCACCCTTATTTTTCTTTGAACATCGTTTATGAAACTCAGGTAATTATTTTGAACAACAAATTTGAATTATTTAATAAAAGATGTGATGATTTAAAGACCTTGGATCTGCAAAATTGTGCTGATCTTTATACCTGGGAGCTGCAAATTTGTTATAAAGACCTGGGATTTGAAAAGCTATGATTTATAAACCTGGGATCTGCAAAGTTATTATGATTTATAGACCTTGGATCTGCAAAGTTGTGTTGATTTAAAAACTGGAATCTGCAAGGTAGTTTTGATTTATAGATAAAACGGAGATATGCATTCGAGATCCCAGTGATCTATTTCTGAAGGAGTTTTACCTTAGACTAAATTTGATTTCCCCTAGTTAAAACATATTCTAATAAAAAGATCTAGTAGTTTTAATCAATTTCAACAATTAAATCAAATTTTATTAAATAAAGAAATAGAAGTATATGATAATTTGAGATCAAGAGGGAATTTTTATTCAAAATGCACATAATGAAATGACATGTCCATATTTATCCGTGTAACGTATGTCCTCTATGCACTTTAAGGCTTCTGAATGATTCACTTATAAGCCCTTTTGTAGTTTTAGCGATTTTATCTATTATTTTAAGTAGATCTAGAAGGTAGTTGATAGTTTTTGGAGAGATGATCCCATACATTTGCCTTTCAAGGTCATCAAAGATGTGCCTAATTAATTGGGATTAGGTTTGGTAAATTGGCATAACATCGGACCCACGTTTTTCCACTGGATAAACGTCCTCGATGGGGTCTGGTGTTATGCTCACTGACAACCCTTAAGGAAAATAAGAAATGTTGACTGCAGATTATATCAACAAAACTCCTGGCATTAAACCTTCATCTATGGTATTTAGTTCAGTTCTTCTGTTAAAAGGCGTTGTGTTGTTTTATGTTCCATTCGAGAATAATCCATTCATTTAGAGACTTCACCATTTCGGGTGAAGGGCTTCAAATTTTGACTTTTACTCGGCACTCATGGTCATTGAGCAGTGATCTTTGTTGTCCAATCTTTGCCTTGACATGGTGTCTCGATTTTCAAGTCTCACAAGAAGGCCCTCAAGTGCTAAGGAACAGTTGCCCGCTATTTTTATCGACTTAGGTCAGATTCGAACTCACAACTTTCCGAACATGGAGCAAGTCTTTTACCGACTAAGCTAGAGTGACAATAAGAATTATCAGAAAAGTTTTTTTTTCAGGACGACGATACACACCTGCTCTGTCATAACTGAAGCAATGATTATAACTGCATTTATAAGAGAAACAACCTCTGGTCTTCTGAATTCATATCAGGTGCTAACTGTATATCGAGAAAGAGACTTCAATGATGTTTCTGTAAATGTGTTCTTACTTCTGAACTCCTAAAATAATGGTTATCGTCATTGGAACGGCTCCTAATTAATTTGTCCGAGAGAGGTACTCACGTACTGTATTACTTCTATGTTAAATATGGAGATATATTGACAACGAACAGCGTCTCCTCGTAAAGTTCTTCTATAGACGTCCTCAGCTAGGCCTGTGATGACAGAATTGCTCCCTCTGTATTTTACCATTAGCTTTAGTGCTATGTTTAAAGCTATCCCAACGTTTTAGCTCTTCAAATGGTGACGAACATGTTTGTAGCATACTTATAGATTATCAGACCTTTCCGAAGGCGACAAATAACGAAGATTATAATAACGTGCTGACTTTTAAATTCAGTAACAATACATGCACGTACGTGTTTGATTTAGATTCTTTTACTACGCATGGTGTTGTAAAAAGTGATTGGAAATGCTAATTACCTGTTCAGAAAACAAACTTTATTCAGTAACCTTTAATGGAAGGAGTTTGCATACGAAAGTGACTTTTTTTTAATTAATGTTAACGTTTTTTTTCAGAGAGGTTTAAAATGATCAAAGTAAGGTACATTTGAATGTCCTTTTGCTCCCAATTTGACATTATTTCAATGATGAGTTTGTTGTTCTATTGAGGTTTTTGATTTATTTTTGTAGGTCCTTTAAGCAAATCACACATAGAGGGGAATGCATTTCTTAATGATGATGACAACTTGATTCCATACTTACAACTTTTATTTTACAGTGGTTCAGGAACTTCTCCTTTAAACAATCAGGTTTAAGATTAACGAATTCCAATTGTTTTTCTTTAAAAATAGATTTTTTTCGTATTCAAATACAGATCTGCAAAAAATGGGATGAAATCCATTAAAGATTTTACTCATTCAAATTATACCTTGCAGATATTTTTTTTTTTTTTTTTTTTAATTATCTAAATGCTAATCTAGATTTTTGACTTGCGATATGCAGTTTTTTTAGAATTCAGAAATACATTTGGATTGAAATCGTAGACTTAGACCGATCATTAGATTTTTCGAAAAATATTAGAGATTAACAACGAACAGTTACCAAGCTGAACGTCAATCAAATTAAGATTTTGTCAATTAGAATCTCAATTTTATTTAAATGTTCTCCATACTTTCTCTATACTTTCGTGTATGTAACAGAATGTTTTTAACAGAAATAATTTACAAATGACCAAAGAAATAAAATTTATCATTTTTTAACTTCTGTAGTACCCAAATTACACTTGTATTACTGTTGTGTATTTTTTTTCAAATATTAATTACTTATAATTTTCATATACATGTGTATTACATGGATGAAGATATTGTCATTGTACTTTATAGCAGAGTGGCAGCAACAATCCACACGGCTCATTTCTGGTACTATATATATGGAGAGCTTTATTCATATCAAAATATTTTATATATAGGTACACGTATAACTACTCATGTCAGAATTTCTTGCTGTAGCTCATGTACATTATTAATACTTAACATTATTGTTGTAGGAATATAACAGGTGTTAAAGTTAACCAATACAACAGCATTTAGATCCATTGGAGCATCACCATTTGAGCATTATGACGAAAACTATTTCCTTTACTGCAAACATTTTCCATACGCATCAGACGATTACTGGAGATGTAGAGTAGCACTCAACTTTATATCTATGTATCATACTACGTCCACGTGTAGAATGGGAGCAGCTGACGATAAAACAGCAGTTGTGGATCCACAACTAAGGTCTGTGATTTTTAAAGAATCCAGAAAACTTACGACTTAAGACCAAATTTAATTTTTCATATTACTTTTAATTAAAATTTTATCGAAGCTTTTTTTTAAAAGAAATGTGGTAAGATATTTTTACAGAAACAGTTTCAGAGAGAATTAATAATTAGCAAAATTTTACAATATTTTTTAGTTTTTGGTCTTAGTCGTAAGTTCTTTTGTAAAACGGGCACCTGGCTCTTTAATTTTGTTTTCCAATATAAGTTTTTAAAAGTAATTTGTTCATAGAAAAAGATCAAATTACTTTACCTCTTTTTAAACAATATTTTATACATACAGAGTAAAGGGAGTAAGCAACCTGAGGGTAGTCGACGCTTCCGTCATGCGCCATGTTACTTCTGGAAATACAAACGCCCCAACGACCATGTTTGCAGAGAAAGTTGCAGGCATGATTCGAGAAATTAATAGTGTGAAACCAATCCGGAAAAGATTGCAGAATTATGAAGCATTATTAAGAGAGATGAAAAAAGGATAATCATCGAAATATTCAAAATTCTAGATGTGATTGGATTTATCGAACATTGGTCCACCAATATGAAAACTTGCTTTTGTGAAAGACGCTATCTGGTTTTGGGGATATATTTTGATTTATCCAGAATAAAGGTGTTTTAGCACATATAAAACACAGTAAAAAATAATTGAAGGCGGACGATACGCAAACTGTTACTCATTAGAATTCACTCGCAACAAAAATATCTGCAAGCATTTAGGAAAAAGTTGGGAAACCAAAATGGAACAGACTGACAGACAAACAGAAATAGAAGGCAGACTGTCAGAGGGACACTGAAATTTACATGCCTCTCCATTTTCACCAACATAGAATAAATTCAATCAGTAACATAACTTATCATTCTGTAAATAGCTTTAGTGTCTTTCATTTTAAAGTGATTGTGCACATAGTATGATATTCATCAAAAATACGGAGCTTCAACCTAATTAAATATCAATTGAAAATGAGCATTGTTTCACTTTTCAATAATAAATAATTACCATCGTTATGCAATAACCATTATTCATTTTAAATTAGGAATTAAAATCTTGAAAAACCATTTGTTTAATTATTTTAATTTTCAACATTTTATGGTGTCTGCTCTCTTTTGTAGGTGTCATCGTATTACATTTATACATGTTTATATAAATGCTGTATAGGTTTGAAAAAGTATGTCCATTATTCATCTTACTTTTAATGTATCGTTCACTCCTGATCGAAAATGATTTTTAAAATGCTTATAACTCTTTAGGATGAATCATCCATGCAACACGACAAATTATATAACGATTATAATATTTACGTTTAATTGTGCGGTAGATCTTCTAAATTAGAAAATTAAACAAAACGGACATAATTAAAGCTAAAATGTTTGAGTAATGATTGCAAAAATTGTGAAACGAATCATATGGACTTTTAAAGAATTTTTTGCACTTTATTCTTATGTTACTTTAATTCTGTGAACGCTACCGTCATGCGCCTTACCTCGTCCGGAACTACAAATGCTCCAATGATCATTATTGCAGAGAAAGCAGCAGACAATAAGAGTGATATCAGTCGGCAGGGGATGTTTAAGGAATCACTGTCTAGTTAGTATAATATGCCAGGGCATCAACAATAGTGGAAAACATGGGATAATTTGCAGATTTAAATTACACGAGGATTCCCATGCCAATTTCAATAGTCCTCGTCCACTGACGTCAAACACAAAGGCAGTCTCGCGAGATTTACAAGCATATTTGGCCTCCTTAGCATCAGATACAGAGACAAATGCGCACAAGATTTGCATGCATAATAGGCCTCCTTAGCTCCTGACCTACCGACCTGCCTAATTTACATTCCAGTAGAATTATCAAGAAATCAACTCCGCTAACTTTCAAAGGGTTATCAAAGAGAGCAAAATTAAAAATGGAAATATTACCTGATGTCCTATCAACATGAAATACGTCAATAATCCCACTGAGATTTTTTTCTTATTTACCAGTAAAAGCAATTGATTACTTTCTATCCCTTATTAGATACTAAATGTGTAACTTTGTGCTATAGAGAATTGGTTTGGAAGTGATTCAAGCGACGTAATTATTGAAGTAATAAAAAAGGTTGAAATGAGTTGAAACATTAATTGTTGCATTGATAGTGTATTGACATCCTGCGTTATTTCTTTCAAATCTATGTTTGAGAAAAATAATTCCTGGATAGTCAATTCGGTGCACAAGTACATGTGTACTAAGAATGTTCCATATACAAAATGTTCGACATGACATGGGTCCAGGTTTTAAAGTAGTTACCGGCGATCCATTTTTTGCTTGTCTGCTTAAAATTATCAGCACTTTACCTTCCAAAATGAAACATTTGGAGATAACGAACAGTATTTAAGATCAAAATCCCATGAAACATTACAAAATAGGAGCATAGCAAATACGGACCTCCAACACATCGGAGGTGGGATCAGATACCATGTAGGAGTAAGCATCCCCTGCCGACCGGTCACACCCGCCGTGTGCTCCTTGTCATGATAGTTAAATAAGGGAAAAATCTGTCGTCATATCATTGTATAAATAATGGACTAACAATAAGTATGAAAAAATGCATGAAAAAAGATATTTGGCCAAAATTTTTTAAATGATAATCGAGTTCCTAAGAACTAAGATTTAAGCTTCAAATACGAGATAATTTTTAGAAACAGGACAAATTTGAATTTTAAACTTATTTCAGTTCTTTAAAACTATGCTTACAAAGAATAAATAATTCAATTCAATTAATTATCCTGTTGTGTGATAAAATTTGTAAAAAAAAAAAAACAAAAAAAATTGTCCTTCTTTTACAATCTAAATGGAAGAACAGAGGGGCACATTGATAACAACGGAAATATGAAAATTTAATATGGAAACAAATCCTTTACGATCAGCCAAATATAATCTTTTTGAAGGGTGTACATTGTGTAAACATTACATCGATAAAACATTGAGAATTTTTTCCCCATAAATTTTTTTATGTAAATCCACTGACAATAGTTTAACTCTTTTTGATACGAAGAAACAAAAATAAGATTCTGTGAATTGAAAAATGCCATTTATTTACATCATAAATGACTGTATGAAAAAACACAGAATGTCATGCATTTAAACATATAATGCAGAATCAGAAAAAAATGAACAACTGAAAGATACAATCAATTTTGTTTCAATAGATATCAGAGGTGGGGTATAAAAATTCGCAGACACCACAATCTCATATATTTATCATAATAAACATAAAAGTGAACAACTATTCTAAGATAACATGTATCATACAAAACCATTCAAAGATAACTATGCTGACACGGCAGTTATTACAGATGGTGTTGGGCAATTAAAATTACAGTATAATTTCTGTTTGCGCGTTCACTGACAAGGCTCCGTGAGGGAATGGTGAAAGTCGTGAGAACCCGCGCGCATATCTTAGCATTCGACGGCCGAGCCTATAGATCATATCAATTTACAGAAAATTCTTCGAGAATTGCTTTAATCTCACGGATAAGAATTTTCGGGATTTAGAAACTTAATTGATAACATGGGTCTGCCGTGTCAGATGTTTTACATAAATTAATTTAAGGATGTAAATTAAATATATTGAATTCTAAAAGGAGCTTTTATTCTAATAATCAGAAAATCAAATATGACAATTCTTTTTTGGTGAATAAATGTCTTTTCAAAACTCAACACTAATGACTAAAGTGTTCTTCTATGTGTTCATTCAAAATCTGCATTGTTAGCAAACAACATCTATTATGAAGTCAAGGCTAACTGGCGTTTATCATATGCATGCAAATTGTTAATACATCATTAAAACTTTGAACTTTCTACAGATTTTTTGATTTGTTGGATCATGACAAGAAGCTCACTGATTTACATGAAATGCTTAATCTTTTATGATGCCTGATCTCACCTACGATGTTTTAAAGGTACACTGTACATGTTTTCTTACATGAGATAAAACAATTATCTTCGCTTTTTACAAAGCGTAATCTGCCCCAACCTAGTTTATACCGTATAAAATGGGTAGCTATTAAATGCATTCCTTAAATAATTCAATTAGATATGGACTGATAACGTCATAACAAATGTCTGAAAGATCATGCTCGTATGTTAGTTGATAATCTTTATCTCAAATACATTTTATAAGAAAATGGTTTTGGGAATTTTATTATTTCTTCTATAACATATATTCTAATGATTTGAATCGGGAATTTAAAGCAAAATTTATTTGCAACAACTGAAAATATAAGTCACTTGCATTCAAGGTATAACATTACATTGATATTCTGACATAATCTTAAATGAAAGGAATGACGAAAATCTTATGAGTGTGTGTATCTTTTTTTTCCCCTGTTTTTCTTTATGTTATCGGGATGATGATGAAGGAATGGTGTAAAATCTTAACATTTGCCCTTTTTTTAATGGTATTCGAACATGTTTAATCCTATATATTTAAAACAAACTTGAAACATTTTTTAACATTATGACATCATGAGAACATTACACCTAATCAAAAAGCATTTTTTATAGATGGGACAAAACATTCGACCGCGCATTATCCTGCCTAAGTTGCAATACTGGACCTTTCTCCTTGGTTCATTGTAGAGTAGACTTAGTCGCCTGAGTTAGGTCCAGCAAATCGCCAAAGTGATCGAATGTACTGGATACACATTATATTTTTTTCAGCAGGAATCTTAATATGTATGTGTAGTTTTGTATATTCACAATTTCTTAACAATTTCATTAACACAATTTCTGACATTTTTTCTTCATGATTCAATTCTACTGTCACAGAGCAATCACCCAAGTTAATTACATGTAATTGTGAATGAGAGAGTTAGAAGGTCTGATAGGTTGCAGGTGCGCGGCGCAGGCGTTGTAGCCCTGTTTCCCAAGAGTGTAGTTTGAGTTAGTTACAGTAAAAACGAGTGAGCAGGCATGGATTTATAATTTGTTTATTTGTCATTTCTGTTATCGTTGTTTATTGTGCGTGATAGAGTTCTGAGAGATAAAAGTGAGCACTAGATTGATTTGTGTGAGAAAGTGGGCCCTGGGAACATGAGTGAGAAAGAGAGGAGAACAAGTCTGAAAGTCAATGAGTGTGGACGTGTTTTTGTATTGTGAACATTGTGATTTCTTATGAATATATCTTGTGTTGTAATTATGTAAATAAACGATGTAAATAAAAACAATCGTCATTATTTACCAGTGCCAGTGACAGGGAGGACCCCCGTCACATATTATGGTGGCCAGCGGTCGGATTAGATTATCTTAACTATGTCGACATATACTTTGGAAAATTAACTCTTGGTAAAATGCTGTGAAGATGCCACGGAAGAAGAGACAGGAGCCAATTGAGGATGTTATTGCCGAAGCTGTGCCTGAAGTTAGACAGTCGTCCAACCTGATAAAGCCTACCCCATTTTACGGTAAACTCGACGAGGACTTTGATTCGTGGATTAAGAACTT